TATAAAATATATAATAAAATAATAGTAATTTAAATTAAATTCAATAAAGAACATAATCTGAATAGAAAAGAAAATTTAATTAAATATTTAATGAAAACCTTTCATACTACTTATTAAGGCATAAGAATTTCTCACCAATAGTAACTGTAAGATCACGATTAGCAGCTGCATTAGCCTTTAGTAATTCAAAACCTTCAACACTGAACAAAAATACAACTGGTATAGTTATATCAACTTCTTTTCCATCTCCTGACATTGCAAACATAGATGAAGTTGCAGCACTAGAACCAACGACATTATCTAATACTATTCCAGCAATAGCACCAGCTTGTTGAATCCGACTTGCCTGAATCACAATACATAACTAAATAAAACTCGTCCTAAGAAACATTTGTAATCTGCTAAAAGAACATTTACCTTTTCTATAAACATACAATTCCCACGATCCATTACTACTATCTTGCCTGCAAGTTTATCCACATTAAGAAGTTCAGTACAAGCTGTAGTTGGGTATGTAAGAATAATTTTTCCAGTAACTTTGTTCAACCCTTTCAGTTCCAGCCCAAAATGTGCTGGCCCAGCCAATAATGTCACTTTTTGTGGTGGATTTGTATTTGGTTTTATAAATGTAACTGCCTGTAGTTTAGTTTCAGTTTGCTGTGACTGCATTTTATTCATTTCTACGATTTCTTGCATGAACAACAAACCTTCTTCCGAATCCTGCAGCGTTTTTGCCTGTGAAGTTAAAACGTACACGTTTTTATTTAAATAAAAGTATTTGGCTAGAGTAATTCATATAGAAGAAATTTTATTCTACATCAGAAAAAGTATGTAAAAGTTCAGCTCGTCCATCTGCTAACGTTAAAGTTGTTATTCCCATATCGCTCAATAATTTCAAATGTTCCAAGTTGTTAGCCTACAATAAAGAATAGTTTTTTTTATCACTTGTTTAATAAATAAATATATACGTAACTAACAGATTCGTGGCCGGAAAATTTTTCAGTTCTTTAATATTCATTGCCGGTGAAAATGAAAAAAACCTTAATCTAATTGTCGCAAATTTCTAACGTTAAAACGAGGACAAAAATTAGAAAAACTGTTTTGAAATATTAGTCTTCTAACAATCTGTTGTTTGAAATGAAGAACATTCCATTAAAGAAGTCACAAATGAAAAAGAGCAGAAGAATAAAATATTTTGAATGTTATTATATTTGATAAAACGTGAATTTAGGTCAGCAATCGCGAATGTGTTAATTGCAATATTATATAATATACTATTACCTGAAATTCTTCAGCTCTTAATCTTCTTTTTAGTGTTCGTCGTGGACACACATCTTCAACCATATTTCTCAAAGGTAAACGCACTGATGCAGGAAATAGATGTAGACTATTAGGACAAATACGATCCATTTCGTCCACGTGCACCACATCACGTTCGAAATCCTGCTTTATTTCATGAAGTAGTATTTAAAGTATAAATAGGTAACTTATGATGAAATGTAATCTTATATAATTGCTTAATCATTTAACTACTAAAATAAACGCAATTATGATTTAATTATTTATACACTTACCGAAGAAACATTAGTTCTTACAGAAGCAAGTGTTAATGGTAATAGGTGTCCTTCGGTTGTAAAAATGAATTCATCTAAATCTAACACCAATTCGCCTGGTTCCGCGAATAATAGAAACAAGTATTTAAATGTTTCTGACAATACAAAGCTATCCATTGTATCATCATGTTTATTAGTTCTAACATCAGACACAGCTGCGTAACCGCACGGTACTCTGGCATAAGTTTGTAAACTTTTTAATACCTTACGCCCAACTCCTAAATAATAATGATCGCCTGTAGCACGATAAAGAAAGTAAGTTGATTCTAAAAACTCGGGTCTTAAAGGATGATGTCCCCAATGTATCTGTGATCATGTAAATTTATAAACATTATTTAAATGAAATAAAAATACATTTTACACTAAAAAGTCAATAGCAACCTGAAAATCTGTAGTAAATGCTTCTGGTATAAAATTATGTCTCTGCATAACTTGATACAGCATTTCATGTGTTTCGACAGCAGGTTTAATGTCACCTTTTAATACCTAAAATATAAAACACCAACTAAAGGAATACAGCAATATTCGAAAAATAAATAATCAAAATATATTAGTATTAAGTAAAATTTACTTGTAAACCAGGCCAAAAAGCTAATAAAGCATCCATAAAATTTTTGGAATTTGTGTTTGGTCTGTGCATATGTACATCTAACAACATCGGTCCTTGACTTACGTACTTCATTACAGCTTGATAATGTTTATTAAATCGTCCAAGATACTTTTCATCACCTATGCATAACATTAATCTTTAAAATATTGCTGTCTAATCTAATCTAATCTAAACAATACTAAATATTGCTTTAATATAAAATTATAAAAATAGAAACAATCAAATAATAATTACCTAGTAAAATATATGCCTTCAGACAATATTCATAGTAGGAGTCTATACCTGCTCCTACACCAGAATCTCTTCGCACCCAGTCACCAGAATGTACATTTAATACAGAACCCATTAAGTCAGTACCACGATGACGCATTCTCCATAAAACATCCATCGCTTTCTGTGCTTTTTCCTGATTCATGTAATCTCATGTAGCATAATTTGATTGTCTTATAAAATATCAGTAAAAAATTCTTATCACCTCAAAAACTGATTCTCCCGTTAATCTTGACAGTGCTGCCATTTCTAAAATCATGCTACCTGCACAGGCTGTACATGTTTCTCTTGATACTTCTAAAGGTACACCTTTCATACCATATTTTAAATTTATCTAAAAAAAGCATACAATCAGATTTTTTAAATATATATCAATTTTTTTACATTCTACCATAAGATAAGGAATCAGAATTTTATTACTCTGCCATATGGTATCCCCGTTGTTGTGTTAAATGCAGGTAGAAATCTGTACCCCAAATCTTTTGCTAAATTTAAAAGTTCACCTCGATACCATGGCATTATATCAGCTCTTTGTTGCAAATATTCTGCTAGTATATGGCCACTTAGAAGACCTCTGTTAAATAAATCATTTAAAACAGGAACATTAATTATTTTAAAGAAACACAATATAAAAAATTAAAGTATATTAAATAGCATGTTTTACCCAAGCATTCTAATATTAGTTTCAAATAGAGAAACAATAACATCTGTGTCGAAGTTAACATCTCTGGCAACAAGTTTAACTGCATTTTCAAATTCTTCTAAATCCCCCAACACCTAATATGTATCAAATAAATATACATCAGTTTATGATGTATTGTCAAAAATTTATGATTTTTCTATAATATATAAATAACTTTTTCATGAACTCACCACAAGTGTGTCTAACGTATCAACCAATGTAAGTGAAAAACTGAAAGTAAATAATATACAAATACAATTACATTTCCTAACAAGAGTTTCTTATAAAAAATGATCTTCTAATTACAAACAATTTAATATCATGAATATATGTTTTTACAAAATTCTTCCAGTTTAAAAAATGTTATAAACATAAAATTTTTTTATATGGAATAAAATTTCTAAAAATAATTCATTGAGTTGAAGTGTATGTTTACACTATATATAGTAATAATAATAATAAATTTTTATTCTTACTTTCCCAATGTGAAATCTATATCACCCCTATTCGGTTCTGACCCTCTATATCGCCCCTTACAACTTAATGGCATTAATTCATCAGCAGGATATGCATTATCCTTTAACGTAAAAATTAACACTTTTATTTATCGTATCAAATATTAGCCATATGTACATTTTCATAATGATTTTAATAAAAATTCTATATTTATTTTACAACTAATATGGAAATAAAAAAACTTCTGTGCACGTAGGAAATTAGATATTATTTTTCCAGATTTCACTGACTTTCTAAGATGTATCTTATTTCCACTTTTTAAAAACAAATTTTATTCAATTTATTTGTTGTAATATTCTTTTACCTTCTTAGTACTTCTATACATTTATTAAAGAATTTTGAAAGAAATTATTTAAACTTTACCATATAAGCATTATATGCGTGATAAAACATATCTCTGGACTCTTCCCTGTAATAAGATAATAACATGGATAAAAAGTAAATTATCAAACTATCTAAAGAAATATATAATAATACAAACTTTAACGTGTTCCGTTCTTCCTTACTCATATATTCCAATGAATCATCTTTGGATGCAACTAACAATGCTTGTATACTACATCCAAACATAAGTAACCCCCAAATCAAAAAATCACAAGCCATTTTTTTAGACTGGCAAAAGTGTTCCTCTTGATGTCAAGATCTTGTACTTGTAGTAGTGCGCATTGTCTTTCATAGATTTTTGTGATTTATTTCATCAAAAGATCATTGTAGCACATAATCAAATAATATAATTCATCACTGACTATAAATGCACCTATTTGTGACACGTTTTCGTTTTGTTAGCAATTTTTATCTTGGTGTCTTCTGTAACATCTTTCATAAACACAAGCACCATAAACTTACTGAAATATAAATCTTCTATGTGACATTAATTATTAATGAAACAAGAATTCACACCACTCAGTCCTTGACATTGCTTAAAAATAACTTTCAGTACGAATGGAAAATTGAAAAGTAATTTTAAAGTAGACAGTCCCTACTAGGTTATAAAAGTTTTGATTACTGTTTTAAGTAAGTTAATGATGTGTCAAAATATGAGTGACAGATGATAGAAGAAGTATATATAATTAAATATAATGCAACAAGAAATAAACTGGCAATAATAACAGGTGATTGCGTATTTTCATCAAGGCCAGATGATGTGGCTACTGTCAATTTGCTGTTGTTCAAACGATTTTCCACCTCGAGTTGTAATATATATGCGTAGGCGACACCATATGTTTCGTAACACTTATGATGTTTTTATATTATATCAGGTATTTTAAATTTGAATTTGACATAGTTGGGTTAAAAATCGTGTTTGCAGAAGATTTAACAAAATGCAACAGCATATTCACAATTACAACAGCAAACGTTTTCTTCGAAAAACTAATCTCTTAATGAGAGCACAATTGAGTAGGAGAAATCACGTGACTACCAGACAATTTATGGAAATTTATCAGAAATTTAAACAGTGATATGTTATATTTTCCTATAATATAATTTAAAAAATTGAACAATCCTTATTTTTATATTGTAAAATTGCAAATATGATTTACATATAAAAAAATGTAAACATTTATGACTTGAAGATTTAACCGATAAAACGTGGTCAAATTGAGTTGCGTTTAAAGCTCGACGCGCATAAGCCATAAAAGCCGGCGACGAAAGTGGCATGCAATGAAATCATACTTTTAACATTAAACGTTGACGAAAGAAAATCATATTTTTTCGTGACTTTTCAGTAAAAAAATCATTCATTAAGTAAAAGATGAAACTTCTAACACATAATATGTTGACTTCAAAATGTCTTAAAGGTGTAACTGTCGGATATCCCTTAGAAATTGTTGTAAGTTTTAAATATATTTAATATTTTAAGGTTAATTCTGAGTTAATATCTACATACAGAAGTAATTAAATATAACGATTAAATTTTAACAAAGTTAAATTAGTAAAAAAAATGTGTATATATATATATGTATAAACTTGTAGGCAAAAGATATCAAAGTTTCAGAAGTGGACTTTAATTCAGAATTTATTGCAAGAATAATTCCAAAACTTGACTGGGCTACACTATGGAAAGCAGCAGAAAGTGTAAGTTTATTGTACCAAACACCAAGATTAAATATACAACATTTTTAAACTTTTAATGTGGTTAATTAAAAATGTTATACTTTATGGTCATAATTATTAATACATACAAATATTGTTATTAAGAAAATTTTAAAAGTTAACATTTAAAATGTTAAAACAGATAGGTCACGTTGGAGAGTTACCACAAACTTTGATTCAAGACTTTGAAACAAATGAAGACTTTTTGAAGAAGGTTCACCATGTATTACTTGAAGTTGAAGTTATTAACGGAGATCTATTATGCCCGGAATCTGGTAGGAAGTTTCCTATTAACGATGGTATACCAAATATGCTCTTAAACGAAGATGAAGTTTAAGCATTCGAAATAAACATAAATATTAACATACATTGTTTTTCTATGATTAGTAGATGTTTAGATGTATATAAGAATTTTATTTACAGTTTATAGTTTTATTATTTAATGCAAATAAAAATTAATAGTGTTTAAAAATATACAATCGAATGAATATAATAAAAGATATTAAATTTATTAAATAAATGAAATATACATCTTTAATACTAAAGATTATTTATGAGGTATACATTATACGTTAATGTTGTATAATTTACAGAATTACATAACGTGTATTGCATAATATCTGTGAAGAATCTTATACTATATCTATTGAATTTCAATAATAAATTATTGCACACAAAAAATGGTTATGGATGTCTTTATTGTACAGATATGTGTAAATACAATGAAATACAATTTTTGTATCACTGTCATATTTAGTATACACCATTTGCATTTACATCGTGTTTATACTGCTAATTGTGGATTGTTCCAATTCATTTTTAAGTATATCCATTATTTAATTTAAGCAATTCTGAATGTTATAAGTGTTTGACCTAAAAATATACCCTAGAGTCAGGGTAAATACAGACTTTCCGACAATATTACCATGACCATATAAAATAAGAAATAATTAGTAAAATATCTAAATATATAGATTTCCTTTTATATATTTATATTGCGTAAAATCTGTTAAAAATAGTTGTATTTCTGTAAATAAAATAATGTGTATGTGAGAGAAATTGCTTGGAACTTGAAATCTTAATTATGAAATAGGGTAACATCGTTAATATTTAACATTATTATTTGAATATACAATGAAATATCTTATGTTACTAATATAACAGAAAATCCATTTTGGATCAACAAATTTTGTATGGTAAAATACATTTATTATTTTAATGGCAGCAAAATTTTACTAACATTCATTAGACACAACCTTCTATATCATCTAATTAATTTTTTATATGATATGAAAAGAATGGTGACAAAATTTTTCTTCTTATTATATCATTGTAAAATAGTATTTTAGAAAAAGGCTCTGGATGGAAGAGTTTCAATAGAAACAAATTTGGCAAATTTATATATTGACTATTTGTCACTCCATAGCAATACATCCCATAGACAAATTTTAAACCATTGTATATTTAAACAATTGAGAGAATGTTTTACATTGGAATACTAAATTACAGTGATAATCTAATCGAAGTATTCATTCATTCCATTTAATGTTAACCTTCTGCATTTAATACCAGGCAATACTTAAAATATAGTCAAAATAGAGTATTTTATCCCTTCTAGTTTTTTTAAGAATCCAAAAGCTATAAAAATAGCTCTCAACTAATATTTCAGCCACAGCCTGTCTGTTATTAATTTTTATTCACATATTAGGTTTTTCAAAGGCAGGATTATTCTGGATTAAGCTATGAAAATATTTTTGTACATTGATTTAACTATAGCACATATAAATATTAAGTTTTTTTCCTTGTTTAGTTTATGATTAGAAACCCTATTTTGGTTATGGCCTATATCGTATGCAACAATCAACTGGGAGTTTGCATCATGGATATGCAAATTTGTATTCGTACTGTTTCTACTTACTACAATTAAAAATCCATACAATTTATAAAAAGTAATAGTTCTTCAAATATTTTTTGCATAATCAAACTTCTTTTCACGTGTACATCATTTTGAATACGTATAATACATATATGAAAACCTAGATATATATACTATTAATTATAAATTCGGTTATTCGTAAACGAAATTATAATCTTAAGGATTGTAACAGTGTTGAAATATGAATTATAAAAAACTTTTGTAATATTATATTTTTGTAAATAAACATATTCTTCTGTTGTGTCTTGTAAATGCATCAAGTCAAATAAGTGAACATTCTAACAAAGTTATAATATACGTGATGTTTAATATGTATAGTTACAAACATGTTGAAACATAAAACATGCTTAAATTAGAATATCCTTACACATGAAGTTACACTAAAAAACATTTTAACTTTTTAATTGGTTCTAATATATTTCAACACTTCATTTCCTTAAGACAAGACAATGATTTAAATTTTAATATAATTTAAGAAACAAATACATCGTACCACAGATTCTAAAATTAGCGTTAATACTGATACAGAATTCATTACTGTCACTGTTACAACTACAATTATGTTACATTGCATTAAAACAATTAGACATTTAATTTACATTTGGCAAAGAAGTTTATCAATAATCCTGTATTCAAATATATATATATGATTTAATAAACAGTTAAACGTTTTTTTTTAAATTATTTGTGAACATGTAGAAATTTGGACACACTTATCAATACTCACAAGATATGTCACAAATGGAAGCATTAAGATACTCTCGAATTGATAACATATAATAGTCTACGATAAAGTGATATACTTTTTCAATTACTTAAAGTGTATATGAGACTGTAAGTAAATTTGAACACTTCTTTGCACATTTTTTTGTAATTTATCTACTACTTTATCCATATCATTTTGCCAAATATCTTTTCCTTAAACACAATATACGTAAATAAATGCTTTATAGCAAACGTAATAGTATAACAAAAGATGTATTTAAATATTTAAAAAACTGAACAGCAATTATTCAATTTAATTATAGTAACAATACGAGCAACAAATGAAAAATAAAATTCACACAAAGTTACATTAATTTGATAAAATGCTTACTTATATAACATATCAAGAATTAACAAATTAATTTTTCAATTTATTAAAAATAATCAACTATTTTTTATGCTTAAGAAATTGCTTCTATATCTGTACGCATGAATTAGACAACAAAAACACAAATTACATAAAACTCAAATATAATTATTTTTTTGTTTTAACTAACATAAAAATTAAGAAATAAACAATTACATATGTTTCATTTACCACGACATTCTGTATTCATTGCATTCCTTTGAGAATAAATGGAACCTTGAGTTAACCCTCGTAACGGACCTTTCCGTAATTGTGGATTTGGGCCTTTAGGAGTATAAAAACTTCCAGAAACCAAATTTGGATCATGTCCACGTACTATTGTTTTAGTAAATGCTTCACTTGTCAACAAATTTGGATCTGGCCCTGACCATGGTGCATAATCGGGACTACAAAATTGTAATAAAAATATAATATTTATAAACTCACAATGATATATCGAAATTTATTGCAAAAAAAAAATTTTCAAACTTACAGAAGCAAATCATTATTAGCTCCTTTTAATAAATCAGAATTTGGTCCGGTAGGTTTTGTTAAATATGGAGATTTATATTCATTGTCTTCTCTAGTACTAGTTCCCCGAGAAACTCTGGAAATTTAGTTATATATTGTGTGTTTAAATTTATTTATTTGAGTTAACAATATATTAATATAGAAATGTATTCATCATATGAAAATGTGCTTACTTTGGTATTTCTATTTTATTTTTATACCGTTTAGATTTTTCTATTTCTGGATCCTTAACAATTTTCTTAATTGGTGATGCAGTCAGTTTTATAGCTTCAGTTACAGGTGGACTATCTTCTTTTTCATCACTTCTATTACTATAAATTTTTGCACATATTTAATGTATAACTCATCACATGTACACAACATAAAAAGATAATCAAAAGTAGTTGGAAAATAACTATTTGGAAAAAATGTTACTTTCATGATAAACTTTTTACAATATACATTACATAAAATTAAAACATTTTCCAATCCATTATCCATGTAAAGCCAGTGCTTTAATTTTTAAAATATTTGAAATTATTAATATACCAAAATGTAAATAGGAAACCATTATACTATGGATAGCTCACAAAGTAATAATATATAATTAAATGTACATCAAATGAATAAAAAAATTCACATAAACATATGCCTTATTTGATATTGTTTTGGAGTTGTAATGATTTTAATTTTTAACAAATTCTATTTCTATCTGTACACCTTTCTTTATATATCCAGATTTGTTGGAAATTTTGTTCAATTCTTGAATCAATCAATTCAAAGCAATCTAAGAAATTGTATTCCATAAATAACATTGGATGAATAGAATTAAATAAACCACTTTTGTCTATCAAAAAAATTATTGTAACACAAAACTCGCTATAACTCGTAAACAAAGTTAAATGGAATACGTGTTTATATGAACATTTTTTATTCTTTTGATACGCTGACCTTATTGCTAAAGTGATTCTCACACGTCACAGGACATCTTGTGTTTCTCTAAATTTTAATTTACCTTTCACTGCTAGATGTACATGGAGGTCTTGTGGCTTCTTCCATAACCATGATATCTAATATATGTATAGCTCTTTCCTCATCATAATCAACACTATCCATAGCAAGCATTATTACTCTTTCTGGTACTGACTTATATTTCTCCATTAAACGAGCTTTCACTGAAAAATTAAAATTTTATGATTAATAATATATTAACACTAGTATTTTAAGACATCAAGGAATGTACTTTTATTTTTCTCTTCTAAACTTTTCATTCGTGGAGGAGGAGTGGGCACGGCTTGTTTGTTCCTTGCCTGTAAGAAGATAATTTGAAATTAATTAAAATTATTATAGAAATGATATAAAAACAAAAACAAAAATTTAATACATTACTTGTTCTTCTTCTTCTTTCTTTCTTGCTAATGATTTAGGTCCTGTAGGGTTTCGTTTTTCATAGCCTAAATCGATTAATTTTTCTGAAGCTTTCTGAACATTATTATCACTTAGTTCCAGAATGTCAAGCAACATAGTCTCCTCCACTTTGGGGAATACATTTTTCAGGTACCTGTAGATACATTTTTAATGTATTAAATATTATAATTATTCGATCAGCCGACAAATACAAGTACAGCCAAAATCTACAATACAAGATGAAATATTACACAATTTACAATGTATATAATAAATGAATCAAAACAGATATATGGTCAATTATTGAAAAATCTATTATATAAAATACTAAGAACAATCCTTTATATGATATTAATACACATGTGATTAACATTTCAACAGTTTCACATCAAAGAAGTCATTGTATACTTACTACAGATAACTTAAACATACTGAAATTTTCAAAATACTGAAATGATAATATTATTTATAGATAGTTTAAATTATAATACTACCGTGCACATACTATCATGCTTGAATCATATGTCTGTTAAATAAATGAGTTTTTTATTGCATATATGTTTTTGTTTGAAAATTTTCTCACTTAAAATTTTAGTATTGAAATATTTAAAATTTATTCAGAATCATTGAAAAAATTTGATATGTGAATCTGAATGTATATACTTTGAGAAACTCATTTATTGTTGTAAAATTTCTTAGAATGAAATAATGTGTTAATAAATAAACATAAGCTTCATTTGACCTCTAAAAATTGAACAGAAAATACACTGATGATATAAAACTGAAACCAACCTATCTATGATCTGTGTAAATCTTACACTATCCAATATGTGTTGTATTGTAAACCAGGAAGAAACTGAAATGAAAAATGAGTTCTAAATCACGCATACTGTAATGAAATCAAAATTAAATCAAAATTAT